TTGAGGCGAGAACATTAAGCGTCAACTTGATTGTCAGTGCGGGTCGTTAGCGATAGTTAGGTACGCATTAATCATTCCTTCTGCAAAGCTCCACCGTGGAAAGAGAACCTTTTCGATTTTCTAAACTTGCTGCGTCATAGCTTGCCCCGCTGTTGTTTTGAGCATAAAAAATTAATAGACGGCATTTCCATGAAGCAAAAATCGCCCTTAGTCGTTTCCAAAGGAAAATGACAGCTTATCTTCAAAAAAATTTTATTCGTGATATGGGATGATGATTATGTTTACTTTGATACGTAACGGCTCTTTAAGCTATTCACATTCCCTTTTAGAAAGAAGGGCGATATCCACTCATAGAAAGGTCCTTAATTCGAGCCAAAGGGGCCATAAGCTTGCAAATGAAGGTGGCTCCCCTATGATTGCCCTGTATCGAGTGCATTTGTGAAGGACGTATTTGGCATGGTTTCGAAATTGCTTTTTTGGCAGGTTGATTAATTAATTAAGTCTTGCTTGATGCATATAGGTACAGTAACGTGCCTGCAACATTAAAAAGGATAATTTGGCTACCTGGACCACACTTTCGATAGAAACGATGTACCATCAAAGCAGTGCCGGTTGAATTCGAAATTCGTTTTGAGGACGAAGCAATGCTCAACAGCGAGTCGCACTTAATTATGTTTGATTCAGATACCTGGGCACTTGGCATAGTCAAAGCCGTTATATTTATTATTGCTCAATATAAATGACCAAACAATGGTACCAAGGCCGTTGCAGTAAATAACATTAGGTCCAGATATCTGGGCACTTGCCACAGACTGAATCATTATATCTCTTATTGCTCATTATGAATAAGGAAACAATGCTACTCAGTCCCTTGCAGTGAATGACCTTAGGTCTAGATATCTGGGCACTTGGCACAGACAAACCCGTTACATTTAATATTGCTCATTATACATGAGGAAACAATGCTACCCAGGCCCTTGCAGTGAATGACCTTAGGTCCAAATATCTGGACACTTGGCACAGACAAAGCCGTTACATTTAATATTGCTCATTATACATGAGGAAACAATGCTACCCAGGCCCTTGCAGTGAATGACCTTAGGTCCAAATATCTGGACACTTGGCACAGACAAAGCCGTTACATTTAATATTGCTCATTATACATGAGGAAACAATGCTACCCAGGCCCTTGCAGTGAATGACCTTAGGTCTAGGTATCTGGGCACTTGGCTCACTAGAGACATGTCAATCAATTGCTCATTAACAACGTCTCAATTACAGCTATTTGCCAAAATTCATTATAAGATTGAGGCTTTGAGCATTCACCTACTTATAATCCGTACAGTAATAAGCCTCCCACATTTAACCCAATAGTTAGGCTGCGCTGACGAAGCATAGGAATTTTCTTGAATCTAATATATCCAGTATCCCGTAGTTTTTTTAGGGTACAGCTTAATTGCATCAAATAACACATGCGCGGCCCATACGATCCACACGAAACTCCGATTATTTTATATTCAAAACAATGACTGCATTAAACCTATTCAGGTTTTTCAATCAAAAGATACAACCTTTTTTAATGGCCATTTTTAAACTCACTACCAATTCCCAAAACTACTTCAAACACCCTTTGAAAGAAACATAGTGGCGATAGAAGTAACCAAAATTCCCCCTCCTTTATTAGGAAATCGGAAACTATTACAGCATATAAGTTTTATCAAACCAAATATCGTCTCAAATATAAATATTATTTTAATTGCAAGAGACTCTCCCTACATTTGAAAATCGTCACTTCCAAATACGATACACTTCACCACATACAGTAGAACATTTGATCCTTGCCCAAATACATCTCAATAAATTAAACTTTTGAACTACGTCCTTATTTATAGTTATTGATATTTTTTGCCTTTTTATGGAAGGAAGACTAGCTTTTCTTGGAGAACCCGCCAAGGCGGGTTCTTGCAAGCCCCTATACCCGAAACTTTTTTCCCTTCATGGAGAGCCCGCCAAAGCGGGCTCTGGGTGGACCGCCGGCCCGCGGCACGCCGAGCCAGTGGACCGCCGCCCGCGGCACGCCCACCCAGTGGACCGCCGGCCCCCGACACGCCAAGCCAGTGACCCGCAAACCCCCCCCCCAAGCCGAGAAGCAAATTAGCAAAGAACCAACTAACGCCATGCCCAACACACAAACCCCCCCTCACACAAAACCCCAACACACACGGCTTCGCCCCCCGCAGAGGCGTGCCCCCCGCAAAGGCGTGACTCCCGCACAAAAGAGGCTCCCACCAAAAAGAGGCTGTGGGGTGCTCCCCCGCAGAGGCTGCGACAACCACGCCCTCTGCCATCACAAAATTTTTCCTCAAAAAAATGTGCAAAAAACACTCGCACTCCTGCAGAATTCAGCGCAAAAATCACTCGCGCTCCTACGCGATTTTTACTCGCACGACTGTCACAGGCGCTAGAGGGCGGGGACCTTTTCTTTCCCCTCTCCTCCCCGCCCTCTAGCGCCTGTGACAGGAGTGCGAGTAAAAATCGCGTAGGAGCGCGAGTGATTTTTGCGCTGAATTCTGCAGGAGTGCGAGTGTTTTTTGCACATTTTTTTGAGGAAAAATTTTGTGATGGCAGAGGGCGTGGTTGTCGCAGCCTCTGCGGGGGAGCACCCCACAGCCTCTTTTTGGTGGGAGCCTCTTTTGTGCGGGAGTCACGCCTTTGCGGGGGGCACGCCTCTGCGGGGGGCGAAGCCGTGTGTGTTGGGGTTTTGTGTGAGGGGGGGTTTGTGTGTTGGGCATGGCGTTAGTTGGTTCTTTGCTAATTTGCTTCTCGGCTTGGGGGGGGGTTTGCGGGTCACTGGCTTGGCGTGTCGGGGGCCGGCGGTCCACTGGGTGGGCGTGCCGCGGGCGGCGGTCCACTGGCTCGGCGTGCCGCGGGCCGGCGGTCCACCCATCTCAATATACTAAAATCCTACTATGCAAATTAGCTTCGAAACAACGAATGTGCTACTATGCAAATGAGGGGCAAGCACGTCTGCACACGGTCTCACCCACTCGACGCCTCTTCGAACGAGATCGGTTTCGAGGCCTCCTCGAAACGTCCCGCTCTTTCCTCCGTTCGATCCCGTCCGTCGACGTGAGTCTGCAGCTGGCCTTCGATTTTCGATTCGGTCCCGTCTTCCTGCCTGAAAATCCTCGAAACAAACTTTTTCTAGGCGGAAGTTGCTTTGCTTGCGGACCTGATTGCCTCTCCGGAGAAAAGGTTACGTCGGGTCGTTAAGCGTGTTAGGCTTTGTCAGCGAGGTCGTTAACCGCCACCTCTTTGTGCCGAGGGCAATTATCTCCGCAGAGTTACTCTGCCAAGGCTCTGCTAATCACCATCGATTTTTTTGGCACCAAAAACGGTGCTGCGTCACAGCTCGGTTCTCCCTTCTGGATGCGAGTTTCGATTCGAATTTTTGGGAATCAAAACCGGTCGAATGCGACACCTTTCTCCCAAAAACTCAGCATCGTACGAGCAAAAGTTATGATTGTCATGATTTTGCCCTGTACTGTAATGTACAGTACAGCAGTGTACGAATCCTTTGTGTTAGGACTCTGGCTCGACCGTGATTGGTCGAAAGTTTGATCGTTATAAGTACTAAGAATGCGATCTCATTGTTTAAACTAGACGCTCATGCTTATCATGTTCGAATTTAGCTGTACCACTACTTTTTACATCACGTGTCCGTTCTCTTTGCCATCTTTGTTTACTTGGTGAAATCGAAAAAATAAATGTCAAACCCTCGAAAAACTTCTTCCTGATTTTTTATAAGGGGCCTTGGATTTAAATGAAAATCACACAGAAAAGAAAAATTAAGCTAACAAAATCCTGTCCGAGTGGGGGTACGGGCCCCGCCATCCCGCCATCCCCCATCATTGTAACAAAGAATTGAAAGCTCAATAAAATCAACAAGAATTTCCTATCCACATGCACTTCACTGAGCATTCCAAACATACGATTGAAGTTAACACGGACGTAAAAATGCCGAAATTTTCGAAAATGAAACTTTACAAGAAAGTTTGTTTTGGTTGCGGACGATTCAGGATGTTTCCCTTCCTAATCAAACTAAAGCATTGATGCGAGATCATTAAGTGGCAACCTGATTGTCAGTGCGGATCGTTAGCGATCATTAACCTTTCCTTCTGCAAAGCTCCGCGGTGAAAAACCAACTTTTTCGATTTGCTAAACTTGCTGCGTCATAGCTTGCCCCGCCGTTGTTTTACGCAGTATAAGTCGGTTGACAGCATTTTTATGATGGAAAAAACTTTCTTAGTCGTTTCGAAAACAAATTGGAAGCTTATCTTTACAATTTCATTTTGTTTGATTGCGAAGGATGCAGGACCTTTCCCTTCTTGATCAAACTATACAATTGAGGCGCGATCATTAAGCGTCAACCTGATTGTCACTGCGGGACGTTAGCGATACTTAGGTACCCATTAACCGTTCTTTCTTGAAAGAACCACGGTGGAAAGACAACTTTTCTGATTTGCTAAACTTGCTGCGTCATAGCTTGCCCCGGCATTGTTTTAGGCATAAAAAATGACTAGACTTCATTTTCATGAAGCAAAAATTGCCTTTAGTCATTTCGAAAACAAACTGAAAGCTTATCTTTAAAAATATTGCAAGAAAACCTTGCTGCGTCACAGCTCGGTTCTCCCTTCTGGATGGAAGTTTTGATTCGAGGTTTTTTTGGAATCGAAACAGCTCGCTTGCGACACCTTTCTCCCAAAAGCTCGAGACCGTACGAGCAAAAGTTATGATTGTCATGATTATCTCATCATTGTTGCTTAAACTAGGCACTCACATGGTTATCATGGTCTTTTGGCGATACGTTCCGATGACCTAGCGATTTGCATTGTTGCAGGGACAGTTTTTTTCCCGGTAACTGAAAAATTCCCTTTTATGGGGGATCGATTGATAAATGACCGTGCAATTTGTGTCAAAACAGTCTCAACAGGACAAAACCATGATGAATTGTCGCGAAGATCATTTTCCAGCCAGCTGCATTTTAGAGCACACGGTTGGAAAGAAAGGTTTGGAAAAAGAAGTCGACATGTTTCTCACAATGGACCCTTGATTTTGGACGCAGTTTTCACTGTGAGTATTGTTTATTCTTTTCGCTCATGTTTCTGTACCTTGCCCTGCCATTTTTCTAACAAAACGCCCTGCCCCTACCGCGAAATATTTAATAGTCGCCCCTTTATTGAATACTATGTTTCTGTTGCTCTTTTATTAGCTACAACATTGAATTTACCGTCTGTTCTTCTGCTGTTTTTGCAGGACAGTGTCGAGAACACGATTTGAATACATTTCCTAAATTGAATATTCATCAGGTTAGTGCGTTTGTTTTCGGGGTTATTTTCATCCCTTTTCGTTTATCTACGTTTCAAGATAGAGGTATTTTATATTTTATTATTTATCAATTTGTGCAACGAATTCTCAGCGAATTGTAACGCCTAGATTCAGGAAATTCAAACTTTATAGGACAGTTTTGCCTGACGAGTTGCGAACGACGATCAAGCTACGCCCCCTTTGTGATGTGACCCCATTGTCTGCAAGGTCGTTATTGGGGAAACTTTTTGTGACTGCGGATCGTTAACGATCATTAGTGACGCATCGATTAGGAACCTTGATCTTCGATGTCGACATTTGATTTTGGTAAACTTGCTGCGTCACAGTTTTCATTTCGGTTATTCTTGGATTTTTTGCAGGACATTCCCGTGGCAGATTGACCAAAGTATTGTAAAAGATATTCTCATCCAGCTTCATCACACGGTAAGCGATTTTTGATATCAAAGATCTCTTCGTGTTTTACTTCGTTTATACTCAAATTTTGTTTGCCGTTTTTTAGATAAATATGCTGAATGAATTCTAAACGAAATGCCAAGTGTTCATTTAAGAAAATTAAATTTTTCAATAAAGTTTTTCATGTGTTGCGAAAGCCGGTGAAGTTACGCCTCCTCCTATCCCTCGCGATTGATTGATTGCTTTCGCGATATTTTCTACGAATTTTTGCTGCCCCTTTTTGTTTAAACATTCATGCTACACCCTTAGTGACAAGATTTAGTAGAGTTTTTGTAAACTTCATGTTGCCCTCATCGTGGTATAGAAATTTAATAACTTTTTCAATACATTTTTCCATCTATTGCAAATGCCGGTGAAGTTACGCCTCCCCTAACCCCTCACAGTTGATTGATTGCTTTTGCGATATTTTCATGGATTGGAAGCTGCCCCTTTTTGTCAAAATAATCATTCTGCTCCTTTTTTGTACGTGTTTTTCTACCGCTTTTAGACCAATTTTACAACTGCTAAGCAATTTTTCCAGCCATTTCCATTTCGACATGGAAACATGCTTTAATGAATTGTTTCTACGCGTACACTAGCGCTGAAATTTAATAACCATTATTCCTCTTTTTTTCAGGGCATTTGCGAGACGTTTTGACACGACGATTTGAATGAAAGACATTTCTTCTTTGGCCTTTGTTTCGTTATAATTTGATTGATTTAGAGGATCTTTGTATGTTTATTGTAAAGTTGAAGGATAATTCAAGATTTTGCATCCTGCTCTCAAATAGTTTCAGCGATTGATAGGACCCCTATTTCATAGATTTTCATACCCTACTTCCAATTGGTTTTTTTACGAGGATGTTTATGAAACACACGGTTCCCTCATTGTACTTTTACAGAGTTTGCCCCCTATGCGTTATAAACATCTATTAGATTTTGCTTTAAATGTGCTATTTAACTTTGGAGGATCCTCAACTCTAGCCATTTATTGTTACCAATCTTGCAATTGGTTTTTTACGAGGATGTTGGTGAAATACACGCCTCCCTCATTGTGATATATTTGAGGGTTTGCCTCATATATTTTGAAAACATCAGATTTTAGATTTTGCTTTAGTTATGGATTTTGTTTTGAGGATTCTCAACTCTAGGGTTGGCTCACCAATAGTAACTATTAATTGTTGTTGTTTTCAAAATTAGCAAACATTTTGATAATTATTATGATGATGAAGTAAATATTTGTTTTTCTGCTAGAAATCTGCCATTGACACAAGTTAGGATAGTTGATAATCAGTCAAGTTTTATAGCATGATAAAAAGTCCTCAAAAATGAAACATTAGTGGTAGTGCTCAAAAATGAAACATTTGTGGAACTATATATATTCTCTTTCGGCAATATTTTAGACACAGGTATTAAGTAAAATTCATATAAAGATTAATTTATTTTCAAATTTGGTCGGGGTGAAGAGGAAATAGATAAATGACTTTGCTGGAT